ATAGGTGACATTTCCTCTCACACTTTTATACTAGATTCAAAAATTGATGTGGGATACTTAACATACCCGTTCAACCTAAATCATTCTAGACAAGTTAAGTGCTAGTCAAAATCAAATCAACCTCCAAATAGGCTGACCAAACCATCAAATGGGTGGGTGCCCCACAAACCACTTTTGGATCGGGCTTTAATACCATGTTAAAGTAGGCCTAACTCATCCCAAATCGATCCTCAAGAGGTGATGTTTTCCTCCTAAACCTATACTAGATTCAAGCCCAACAGACAACCCATGTGGGATACCCAACAACAAATAATGGTCATCCTATTGTCACATTGCAACATTATTGAATTTCCTCCCTGATATTTACTGGTTCCTGATGTGTTTAAATATAAGTTTTCCTATATCTGCTTCATTTCAGGGACGGGTGAATTTAAAAAATCCAGACCACAAGTTCTGCCTCATTGAAAATGACAAGTATGACTCTAATAATGGACTTCCCCCAATTCTTCACAGGAGGGTATTTTTTGGGCGGGAGGTAGGTGCTGCTGATAGGAAACTCTTACCCACTTATCAGTTGAAAAGCCGCAATTATCTTGGCCCCACAGCCATGGATGCTGAAATGGCATTTCTGATGGCTAACCAAGCGCAAGCCAATCCCGGTAAACTAGTCTACGATCCATTTGTTGGCACAGGAAGCATTCTTGTTGCAGCTGCTCATTATAAGGCAATGACAATGGTTAGTTTTTCCTCATATGTATTGGAACATAAAGGATATGCTTGCAATGTGGAAAATGGTATAGGAAAGAAAAAAAGATGCCAAAGAAAAAAGTTTTATGTAATGTTTGGTTTTACCTCAGTGAATACAGAGGAAATATAATCAAAGTCGATTTAATAATTATCTTAGCTTGCATAAACTTGGATTTCTCAATCTTTATAAGTTTATATAATAGAAATATATAAATAGAATGACTTTGAGTAAATATTTTACACTAATCATTGAGTATGAACCATCTTTTATTTTCCCTCAGATTTTCTTTCATTCCAAACTCAACTATTTTCTCCCTTAGTTTCATTCCCTAGCATTTTCATAGTATTTTATGACTTCCAAATGGACCCCAATAGCGCTTTATGTAAGTGAATGCTATTTTTTTGTTCACCATTAACATTTTCAGGGTGCAGATATAGACATTCGTGTAGTGCGTGATGGTCGAGGTCCAGATTGTAATGTTTGGAGCAATTTCAAACAGGTGAATGTGCTGATACTATGTGTGTGTGTGTGTGTGTGTATTCTTAATGCTCAAATTAGAGACTGCAAGTAGGTCACTATACCAAACCAAACTATGCCCTTAGACATTTTTTAATTAAAATAACGGTGTGTATGCTTTTATATTTTTATTCTTTTATTATACAATTAGACTCTTGGAGACAGCCTCTCCACTTCTTGGAGTAGAGGTAAGGTTTATGTACATCTTGTCATCCCGCCCTACTCTTGAGCGGGATAACGGGTTTCGTTCAAGATAAAATCAAATTACAAAAAGATGATAAATTTGGGAATTTGCTTCCAATATGTGCTTTGAGGTATTTATAAGGTTTTTCTTTATGGTGAATACAGTATGGATTGCCGTCGCCTATTTCTTTGATAAGGGCAGACAATGGCCTTCCTCCTTGGCGGAAAGGGTTGAAAGAGGTATTTTCTCCAATTCTGCAGTTTCAAGTATTTCTCTCTTTTCCACAGTTCAAATTTTCCCTGATCTCCCTTTAGAAGGCTTTTTCCAGATTTTCAGTTTCTTAAATGTAATAAATTACTGAGCCCGGTTCTTTTGACACCAAAAGTCAGTGTTATATTATGACACCAGTCCATTTTGGAGGCCTTGTGGTGGTCTGCTCGACCCTGAAATGGTTTCTGCCCCCAACCCCCTTTGCCCACCCTCATTTGGATGACAATCCATTGACACATAGTATTTGACAATGGATTGTCACACAAATGGGGGAGGAGAGGGGGGTTAGGAACCTCATTGGGGTCGAATGGAGCACCATAGGACCCCCAATAGGACGGTGTTGTAATATGACATTGGGTTGAGTGTCAAAAGAACCCCAGTGTAAATTTCCCTTTTTTCACAGTTATTACTTTACGGCAAGATTGTTAAAACTTAAAATTGCTCTTATTAACTAGCATCAATGGTTGGCCTATCTTTTTTTGAAACTCAAATGAGAAGTTTTTCTTTCAGGTATTTGATGCCATAATATGTGACCCTCCCTACGGAGTTCGGGCAGGGGGCCGCAAATCTGGTGGCAGGAAGCTTCTGAAAGGGGTCATCGGCCCATACACAATCCCCGATGACAAAAGAACAGACCACATACCTTCCACTGCCCCTTACAGCTTAGCGGAGTGCCTACACGACCTTCTTGACCTGGCCGCCCGAATGCTGGTCATCGGCGGGCGGTTGGTATACTTCTACCCCTCCTTGAGAGATGATAACTCGGGCAGCCCCGTCTTCCCGGAACACCCATGCTTCAAACTGGTCGCCGTCTCTGAACAGATACTGAGCTTCAGATACAGCCGGATACTGCTGACGATGGTTAAAACTGAAACATACACCGAAGATATCGAATTGGCAGCAAGGATCAGACATTTGGAGTTCAAAGAGAACCATGTGAAGTGGCTTGAAGAAGGAAATCTTCATTCTGCTGTGTTTTGCCCTGCTCAAGATCTGCCTAATGACACAAAGATGACTAAAGAATCAAAGCCAAGGTACAGGGGCAAATATGTCTAATGAAATGAATCTTCTGCGTTCGATTTCTGTTTGCTCCCAAGGTATGTGTCTTTGGGATATTCATCTATTTTTTCGAATCGACTGAATCTTTTATGGGAAATTTTTTTGGCCTAGTTTTGGGAGGTATGAGGTTTTAACGACCGTAGGGGTTAGGAGAGGTAGGGGTATGCCGAACGAATAGGGATGGGCCTTAGGCAAGGACATCGTTAAACTCAAGCTGACTAAGGACATGACTTTAGATATGAAGTTTTGGAGGCCAAGAAGTTGGTTTTTTGAGAGGTAGGCTTTGATCTTCCATCTCATTATCACGTATTTAGCGGGTTATTTTTGGGCACGCAAGGCCATATATTTTTAAGTGTACCGAATATGTAACGCTCTGTTGGTAGTGTATTGGAATTGTGCTTGTCGATTTATTTTATTTTCAAACATGGGTAAAGTCTGCGTATAAAACGACGCATTTTCCCAAATTTAAATGAGGTATAACAAAAGAGCCCAATTCCATGGCTACTGGATTCCAGTGGCCACGGAAGCCACTGCCCCATACGAATATCCGTTCATAAAATTGATGATTCGTATCCCCCTAACCCCCCGGTCAACCCCCCGGTCAACCCCCTGTCAAGTCCTGATTCAAATTAATCACCTCACCTACGTCAATTACACCTCGTAAGTATAAAGTCAAAACTTTTGACTTTAAAGTCAATTATACTTACGAGATGCAATTGACGTAGGTGGGGTGATTAGTTTGGGTCGGGACTTGGTGGGGGGTTACTGGGGGGTTAGAGGGGTAGGAATCATCAATTTTATGAACGGAGATCCATAGGGGGCAGTGACTTCTGTGGCCACTGGAATCCAGTGGCTATGGAACCGGACTCATAACAAAAAGGCAATTGTACTTTTTCATAGTCCCTCCACCCAAAAGGAATTACATCTCTTGATCAATGTTTAAAATTTTGTAACTTTTAAAATTATTTCATTTACAAATCAGTATTAAAATAAAAAAAGGTTATATATATATATATATATATATATATATATATATATATATATATATATAAATTTAAAAAATGTTCTAACAAAACAAAAGTGACACATATATTTTATTTAATGAAATGATCAATAAAAAATATTACAAGCAACAAATAAAAGTTATCGAGAAATCATAAAAAAAACGATAAATCATTTTGGGACAAAAGAAGTATAAGCCATATACCCCCACTCCAAAAAAAGATGTGTAAATTTCCAAGCCGGTCCTTTCTAATAATGTACCTTTTCGAAATTAGTTTTTAATAAGTAATAATTTCCAATGTGATCTTTTGTAATTAAGATGTATTTCTTAAATAATCTTCTACCAAAAATATGTATTAAATGTGAATCAAATAGAAGATATTTTGGCATTTTTTTTAGTATCTAGACTTAATAAATGTTCTTGAAATGGTCCTTTTTAATTAAGTATTTTTTCAAATTGATAATTTCTAAGTAAATGTTTTCTCGAAATGGAAATAGTTGCTCGCTTTATTTGAAAAGACCATTTTGAGAACTTATTCATAGTCTAGTTGTTAGAAAATACGAAAATACTCTCCATTTAACTGTCATTTAATAAGTATTTTTGACAGATGTCAAGGAATACATCTCAATTACAAAGGACCATATTTGTAAAGAAATATTTGCACTAAACAGCACTAAAACTTACGGAGTAAGTCATTTTTCTAAATAGCACTTAAATTGTTTTATTCTCTAAATAGCACTTAATAATGTTCATAATGTCCAGTGATGACGAATATTTAATTGAATAATGACTAATGCATAAGAACTAAAAGTGCCACCTTTGGAATAAAAACACATGTGGTGCTATTTAGAAAAAGTCATTATGTTTTAGTGTTATTTAATTAAATATGTTTTAGTGTTATTTAATTAAATTTCCCATTTGTAATTATTGTTTATTAAAGACTAATTTAAAAAAAATCTTGTTAGAAAGTAACATTTTGGAAATTTACTCAAAAATAATAATAATTGAAGTTACAGGTAACATTAATACCGTTGATATGGAGTAAAATAATTTCTCCATAGATAATTTTTCCATGGAAGTTGGGCGTCACTGTCTATGCTGCGAAAACAAAGGAGATTTGTACGGTCATGGTGATCGTTCAAGAAAAAACACACAAAACTTCAAAGAAAAAAAAAAGAGAGAACTTATTAGATTAGGCCTAGATTAGGCCTCAAAGAGGAAAAAAAAGAAAGAGCGGAGAAGATTAACATTTAATCTTCTCCATCTCCCTCGTAATAAGAAAAAAAATCAAATTCTAGAGGTTTTTTAGAAAACGGTGGCTCTAATTCGGGTGTTTCTTCAGGTTCTCATGGCCCCGAGCAAGCTTAGGAAAGCCATTGGGGCCGTGAAGGACCAGACGAGCATTAGCCTCGCCAAAGTGGGCTCCACCGACTCTCTCTCTGACTTGGAGGTCGCAATCGTGAAGGCGACGCGACACGAGGAGCACCCGCCCGAGGAACGCCACGTGCGGGAGATTCTCGGCCTGACCCGCTACTCACGGGCCCACGTGGCGGCGTGCGTCGCCGCCGTGTCCAAGCGGCTGAGCAAGACCAAGAATTGGGTGGTGGCGGTGAAGGCGCTCATGCTCGTCCACCGCCTCCTCAATGACGGCGACTCGGCGTACGAGCACGAGGTCTTCTTCGCCACCCGGCGCGGGACCCGCCTCCTCAACATGTGCGACTTCCGAGACGCGTCCCGCTCGGAGGACTCGTGGGATTTCTCCGCGTTCGTGAGGACGTACGCGCTTTACCTCGACGAGCAGCTCGAGTTCCGCATGCAGACCCGTCGCAAAAAGCGGAGAGGTTTCACTTACGACGAAGACGAGGAGGAGGAGGAGGCCGCAGCGGCGGCGAGGGCTCTCACGCCGGCGAAAGAGATGAACAATGAGGTGGTCTATTCAAGAATCCATCACTACGTCCACATTCTTCAACGATTCTTGGCATGCAAACCTACAGGTTAGTTTTGTCAAAAACACAGTCCTCCGTATCATTTTTCTCTAAAATGACACGACAGAATGATTTTTATTTTAATATTCAATACAAGAGTAAAAATTTTATTTACGGAGTAATATATATTCAAAATTCGTCCAAATTAACTATGAAAAACCGATTTAAAAAAATTGTGACTTATTTTTCAGACGATGAACTGGTTAATAATTTTAAGAGAAAATATTTATGCTTTAATTACTTTGTTGACATATTTACGGTGACCATTTATCTTTTTTATATAATTTCTAAATATGTAACTTTTATTTTTTAATACTATAGAATTTTTCAGATAAAATAAATTAAAAATAACTTAACGCGCAACGAAAAGATTATTGTTGGACAAATTGAGTATTTGCTTTAATTAAAGTTGAGACACATTATTTTTCAAACGTTATAATGGTAAAAGCTTTTTTAAAAAACATATTTATACTTTTAATTAATTACTGGTAATATTTTTTTTAAAAAAAATCAGGTGCTGCAAAGAGAAACAGGATAGTGCTGGTAGCTCTGTATCCTGTGATCAAGGAAAGCTTCGTAATATACCATCAAATGGCGGAACTGATGGAGATCTTGATTGACCGATTCATGGAGCTCAGCATTCCCGAATCCGTTAGAGTCCACGAGATTTTCTGCCGCGTCGCCAAGCAATTCGACGAGCTTGAGCTCTTCTACAACTGGTCCAGATCCAGCGGCATCGCCAGGTCCTCCGAGTATCCCGACGTGGAGAATTATCCGCAGAAGAAGCTCGATCTCATGGACGATCTCATCCGGGAGAAATCCGAGATCGAGTGGAGGAGGCGCAACGAGCACGCGCCGAGATCGGACGAACGGGAACCGGATCCGGATCTGGATCCGGACATGAACGCGATTAAGGCTTTTCCGCCGCCGCCGCCGACGCAGGGAGATCTATTGGCGGAGACGAAAGAGGAGGAGACGTCGGAGAAGGAGAAGGTGGCAGTAGTAGGCGATTTGTTGAGCTTGGCGGGAGATGAAGCGGCGGCTCCGCAAGACGACGCGGACCGGTTGGCTTTGGCTTTATTCGACGGTGGTTGTGAATCGGGATCCGCCGCCGCCGCCAGCGCGGTTTCGCCGTGGAAGGCATTCAACGATTCCGGAGATTGGGAGACGGCGCTGGTTCAATCCGCAAGCTACTTGTCGAGCCAGAAGGCACAACTTCCCGGAGGCTTTGACACGTTACTTCTCGACGGGCTATATAAACAGGCAAGCGTCAAAACACTTCTTTATACTACCTCCGTCCCAATTTATAACGCCTGTTTCGGTTTACGATGTTTGACTGAAATTATTTTCAAACCATTTTATATGACAAATGGTATAGAATTAAAAAATAAAAATTACATATTAAAAAACTACATCAAAAGATCTACAAAACTAGTAGTGACAATAATATTTTATTTTATCAAATTGCTAACGAAAATAGAGAAAGAAAGTGAATGAAGTTTGACCCTGTGAATAGTAACAGCCATTATAATTTGGAACGGAGGGAGTATCTCATAAATAAATACGGAGTACTTCCCCTAGTCCCTCCACCTCAAATACTTTCAGTTTGATTTTGATTTTTTAGTGGGAATTATTTTGGATTCTTTGATTTATAAGTAAATAAAATTTATATATTATTTTGATTAAATAGAATAATACTTTGAAAATATTATATAACAAAAATCTAATAAAATTATTTTTCTATCAATATTTAATATCAGTTTTATTTAATTAGATGTCAAAATTTGTTAATTTTGACTACAAAAAAACCAAGTTGGACAAATATTCATTGACGTAATAGTAATTTTTAAGTATTATGTACATTAATACAGCCCCCGTGCCCCGTCCCAAATTAATACCCACAGATTGACTTCACACATAGTTTAAGAAAAATAAAATTGTGTGGCTGAAAATAATGCAAAAGAAAGAAAAAAAAGTGAACCACAAAAAATTTTCTAAAAAAAAAAGTACGAGTAGAATATTAATTTAGGACAACCTAAAAAAGAAATAAGGAGGATTAATTTAGGGGATAGGGATTATCATATTTACAAGATCAAATTATATTCACTTATCCTAACATAATCATTTTCACTTCTAAAGATTTATTTTTATTAATTATTTTATAAAATAACACAATTATACAAGTTTTTGTTTTACATTTTTTTAAATACAAACTATTCGTATAAATTTTATTTTTAAGTTTATAAGTAATACTTCCTCTATATCAATTTTATGTTTGAACATGTAAATAGTAAGAGTCAACTTAAAGTACTTAAAAGAATCTCAGTCGTTCTCCATCCTTTTTTATGCTACTTCATTTTCTAAAAATTGTCTCATTTCTCCTCCAAAAAAAATCTCATTTCACTTATTACAATTTTAATAAAAAAAATTCTTTCGTCTTAAAAGTTCCTCTCAATTATTATTCAAACGGTCAAACTTTAATCATTTTTCTTTACCTATCTTTGTTAGTTATTTGATAAAATAATATAGTCTTGTCATTTCTTGTTTTGTAGAACTTTTGATATAGTTTTTAAATACACAAATTTTATTTATAATTTTACACCTACAATCAAATAAATTAAATTAAAAATAAAGTCGATCAAATCTCGTTAACAAAAACGGGAAAAACATTTTAGGACGGAGGAGGTATTTAAAAAGTGAATAGTATGATTGAGATTTATGCAAATGAGAGATTTTATGAAAGACATGTTCCATATCCTGAATGGAATGTGAGACTTTTGGACAAACCATATAAAGGAGGTAAGACATACTTCGTATATTCATAAAATGAACTAATCTAGATGTAATACAATATACATGCCCATACCATTCAACTTTCATGTATCACAAAAAATTAAAGTATTCAATTAAAAGTGAATGAGGAAAACATCACATATAAACACTTGTGTGATTCTCCCAGTGTTGAAAAAGCTTTCAAATATTTGGAAGGAGACTTGTTTCATATTTTCATTACTTTCACCCACATCTACACTTGTAAAAACTATAGGGTACAATGAATCATGCAATGGCGACCTCCAACACGATGGCTACCGGGAGTGCGAGTAGCATCGCGTACGGGCCACCTATGTTGGCCCTCCCGGCACCGGTTGAATGCGGGCCCATCACCCCGCATGGATACATGGACCCATTCGCAGCGTCACTTTCCATCCCGCCACCAGGGTACGTGCAGATGTCGGAAATGGAGAAGAAACAGAGACTCTTAATGGAAGAGAAGCTAATGTGGCAGCAATATGCAAGGGATGGGATGCAAGGCCAGGCCGGGTTCGCGAATGTCCAAATGACCAACTTTTACCCGTACACCCGAACCTATTGATCGAAAAAGAAACTGCTCTTTTGGTCTCTGCATGGTTTGTAGGACCTTGCTAAGGACACCCCATCTCTCACTTTATCTTTTTCACAAACATCTACCCCAACGAGATACTTTAGCATTTTTCTTGATGTATATATATGTCCCAACAAGAAACTCTCAAAAAGCTATGGAAGGTTTAAGGCATGGAGATATGGACAAAGTCAAATGAGATCATTCTGAACAGTTGTAAGTTGTGTAACTCTTTTTTTCCTCTTATTGAAGTTTTTGTTTCTGTTTTTGTTCCTTGTTTTAATGTATTCCCTAACTAATTTATACTCTGTATCAATTATTCTTTTATCATGCCCCATAATTTTTACATAAAAAGATTTTTAAGAGCAATATTTCCAACTGAAAAGCGTGTGTATTAGATGAAAAGCGTGTGTATTAAATATGAGTAAATCGCAGACACACAACTTGGGCGAATTTTCTAAACGGTCCTTTATAACAAGGGGGGGGATACCAATATAGTCCTCTATTCTAAATTATTCTCTTCGTAGTCCTCTATTCTAAATTATTCTCTTCATAGTCCTTTCTTACTCTTCTACTTTCTAAGCATGTCTTAAAATATTGTTCTCATATACGAAATGTGATTATTACACTGCAACCATACTTAGAAGGCAAGAATCAAGAAATAACAACAGAAATGCAATTCTAATTTCCCTCTTTCAGCACCCACCAGTTGCTGGAGAACATACTAAAGAATTAACCTGAACTTGTGGGAAATGAGTTGCTCGTGAATGCACCTGAACTTCTCTTTGAGTTTTTGTATTCTTTTCAACTCAATTTCAGTTTCCCGCTTCTGCTGCCCGAAGGAATGCTGCAGGTTGGATATGTTGAAAACATTGTCCAAATCGTCTTCGAATGCAGCCTCTAAGTCTTCGCGTAGGAGAGCCGGTAGCTTGTCCACGACTGGCATGAGGAGAAAACAGTTGAACTGCAGAAGAAAGTAGAAGCAACTACTCATCACAACTAAAAAGAATGCTTAGCTCTTTCCGTCCCACTATTTTAGGGACATGAGGGATTGACACGGAAATAATGAAAAGATTGTGGTTGATATTGATGTTAAAAAGATAAAGAAAGAACATATATAAACCATACAAATATGACCAAATATGGTTTGGGACAAATTGTGGGATGGACAAAAAAGGTAAAAAGGTCAAAATCAATATGACAGAGGGAGTACTATGTATTGTGTAACAGAAGGGGGATTACTCTATGATCCAGTTTGGTAGGAGTAAATTTGGATGAATGAGTTGAATCTTCTCCTAGTAGTGCTTCTAGCTGCATATCTCTAATGCTGGAATGCAATGAATTGCTGAAAAAGATATTATGATTTTTTTTAAATGATAGTGTTTGGTAAAAAATCTAGCACGGTCGGTTCAGCTACTGTTGTTAAATAAGACTGTTTGGTAGAAGATATGGCTCATAATACTAATAAGCCAAAAACAAGTTTTACAGAAGAGGCTCTAAGTTGTTGAAATGCTCTTTTTTCAGTTGAATTGTTGTGACCATCATAATTAAGCTTCGTTCAATTCTATATGCTAGACCATATCTTCAGCCAGTAAAGAAGACATACCTTCAATTCTGTTGATGCCAAGAAATATTCTCTAATGCCATGAAATATTTGCTGAACCAATGCATAAACAATCCTTTCAGAAGAAGGAGCGAGCCTTCTGTTCCACAGTGTGCTGTCTAAGAGGTCGGCTAGCCTAGTTTCAGATGTTTGGCTACCCAGACATGTTTCATTCCTTGAGGTAACCTTCACATCTGTTCGGGACTTGGCATCCTGCTTGGTACTATCACCACCAGCTCCAGATTCAGTTGAAAATTCTTGACTAGGAGAATTTTCTGATCCGCTAAATGAATCTAGGAACTGGCGTAATCCAGCTCGGTTCTGAAAGTGTGATAGAATGTGATTAGATAATTCATAGTACAAAGGTGTTTGGGATTGATTTTGAAAATTATTTCCAGCTTTTGCTAGAAAGTTGGAATGAAAACACCGAGAAATATTTAGAGGTGTCTAATTTTCAGTTTTTTACAGAGACAGAGATGAAAGCTTAGAACCACCTCTGAAATGCTTTTAGATTTTGTTGTCAAAATTATCACTTTTCAAAAAAACTTAAGTTCACTCAAACACCCTTTAAATGGGACATTGAAAAAAATAAGCATTTTTCGAACCTTATTATGGAGAGACCATGTAACATATCGGGTTGTGCTGACTAAGTCCTCCATGCATCTGGAGAGAGACAGACAAAGAACCAACCAAAATTATAAGTAATAACTGTTGGAATTCCGAAAAAACTAGAGAAGAAAACAGAGAGAAGATTTGAGAGAAAAAATGGTGGAAAATATAAGATACAATCGAACTCCATAAACTTTATATAGATATATGTTCAAACCCATTTTACTTTCGATTTCTATCAAATTTATACTAAAAATCTTAATATTTGCATCATTTTAATAAAAACTCCAATGATCAGATTTCTTTTTCATTTTCATTTTCCAAGATAGATTCAAAGTATATGACTTCAAGGAAATAACTTTTAATGGCATTTATTTTGATTTCCTTAGCTTTTTTCACCATGCAAACCGGGTATTTTAAGTGTTGGGCACAGCATTGGCCCAAGAAGTGTTCAGACCGGCGGGTAAGGCCAAACCCATCAAAAATCAAGCTCAAACTCTTTTTTTGTAGTTAATAGAAAGTTTAGAAACAGATTGAAAAAGCACAATAAAAAATTTCAGAAGAGTTTAAAGGCCCATGCGGAACTCGGAAAAGACTAGGGAATAAAAATAGGGTGGAAAATTTAGGTATAATTGGTAAGGTAAATTCTTATATGGGTCTTAGGTCCATGATAGAATCCCTCCTTTTGGAAAAGCGTAATGAAAAACTGTACATGCAATGGAATTATTGGTTGAATTATCTTATAGAAGAGCAGAGATCAAGGTATTACTTTTCACGGCATGATCTTTCAGTGGATTCTGCAAAATTGGTAAAGGCAGAGGTAACTCGTCTAAGAAATACATCATGACCACTAAGGTACTCCCCATCTTTCTGCAGAAACCCAGCCAAAATAAGAGGACCCCGAGGAAATTATAAGCGTGTAAATATTCTACAAGCAGAAGAACGATAAATTTTTATTTAAAAAAAAAAAAGAAGATCCAAACCTGAAGGAGATAAACTGCAATTGGTAGTAACCTTTTAAGAATGTGCAATAGTCTACTCCCCAACTACACCAATAGATAAGGAATCAGAAAATAACAAGGTTTATATTCAAACTTCAAAGCATGCTAGAACTCTAACTTTTTCATGTGAACTTCAAACATTAAGGGTCCGTTTGGAACCAGGGAAAGCAATTAGGAAACAATAGAAAATTTAAAATTAGAAGGAAAGAAAATACGAGGGAAAATAAAAGATATGCTAAGACTCAATTAATTAGTAATGGATATTTTTTGATACGTTAAGACATTACAATCTACGTAGTGCCCTAGTGCGTAAAAAGGAAATTAACTTTTCTTAGCGATTAGTTTTCCTTTCCTGATCATTTTTCAGGGTCCAAACTTGCCCTAGGCCTTAGAAAAGCAGAAAGGTAGTATTGAAGCGGGCACCTGATGGAGAAAGGGTTCAAATGTATCACGGGCCTTTGCAACGGCAATTACACACGCAGTCCTGAGTTCTCAATGTTCAAAGAAGTCAATAAGATGTTTACAAAAAACAAGATAATAGTAAACAGAATAATATCATTTCAGGTATAGCTGCAAGCCTGTAAGTTGTGTAAACCTGGAATAGTTAGTTCCATCGTGAATGTCTTCAACTCCACAAGCATTCACAATTTCTTCACGTGTAATTGGAGGGCATTTTACACCTCCAACAACAAACCGGAATTCAGCCATTGCACGATGATACTGAGCACCGCCATAAAGACGCATCCCAGCATTCTACCCAAAGAGAGGGAAAACATTGAACTTTTAAGCAACACAGATCCAGACAATGGTTTTGCTAGGGGGAGGGAAAGCCAGCTCTGGCCAGCCCCAAGTTCGGTCAGGGAAGCATTTTCTACGAGGGACATTTTAAAGTGAGCCCCGGCAATGGAACCAGAGGAAATATTGGGTTGAAGTCTAGACAGGCTAATGAGGCTATACTCTGGTTGAAACTCTTAAAAGATATTTCCAATAAGAAAATATGTGGGAACACACCAGAAGTGAAAAAAGGATCAGAGAATGATTTACCCTCAACGGTTAAGGTAATTCTATACTTGCCTGCCTGCATTTTTAAGTATATATCTAGTGGTTCACCAATGGGTATGAATTGTTCCACACGGTCAATTCCATGTTTTAAAAAAGGCTAAGGTAACAAAAAGAAAACATAAACTACAGCTAAAGACACTTAAGGAGGCTTACAGGGATTAGCTTGTGTGGAAATTGAAGACCATCAGAAGCAACAAATGCCCCTCCATTGACTCTTTCATCTTGCAGAGATTCACCTGCAATGCAGATGTAAGATAGACCAAAAACATACTCCTTACTTGAAAGTACGCTCCCATTCACACTTTAAACACTAGAAGTATATGGCTCTTGTATTTTCAATATGAAACTTTATTTCAATAAGTTGACTAATGACTGACTAGTGCAGTAAGGAAAACATCAAAAGTTATAGATGTTAAAGTTCGAGCTTTTACACGCATGATATTTTGATAATAGAGAAAATGAAGTGTGAGAAATAACCAAATTTCTGTTTTTGAAGTTAAGTTAATCTGTGGAAAGAATTGATGTATCAGAGCTGCCAAGAAGATGGATTACCAAATTTATCAGGTGGTGCAACAACTGTCCCTTTCAGTAACAGTGATAGCTGAAAAGTAAAAGGAATTTCAGTCATAAAATCAATAAGCTAGCAGGGGTCTTCAAAACTCCAAATAAACTCAAAAAATACAGTGATATGCCCACAGGTTATGGGCTTATGGGCTATGGCGGTCCATGACATGTAAATTCTATA